ACATCCACAGTAACAATGGGCAATTTTTCGCAAGCCCTGAGCCCAAGCAAATTTTCTTCGCGCTTTATGCAAATCGTCCCCATCAATTTACAGGCGGAGCGTGTCCAGGTCTATGCAAGAGGGAGACTCGCCGACCTGAAAGCACGAAAGCATGATTGTAATCAATTGTCGAGCGCTACGCCCCGCTTTTTCACAAGTCTCGCGTTCTGCGCGACAATGGCGCGATGACTATGAAAAAAAAAGTCAAGATCCCCTTTAGACTACTTTGTTAGAGTGAAATTTTGCAAAAATTTTGTAATTTTACAAATTTCCACGCGGCAATGAAATTACTGTACAAAGGAGTAAGACTCTTTTAGACGCTGTTTGGTGAAATTTTGAGAAAAAAAAAAAACGTTTTTTTCTCACTAATCTTAATTATCGTCGTGAATTAAGCTTCGTGGCTCTTGGTCGCAGGCTCTATTATACAGAATTCGTAGGGGGAGCTTTTAGGACAGGGAGCAATTAGAAGTAGCTACGATAATTTTTAGTCTTGCATATGTAGCTTTTAACCAGATGAATCATACGAGAGAGGAAAAAGCTCCTCTTCGTTGTTTCGTGAAAATTATGGCCGATCCTTGGCTTAATTAATGCAACGCGTTGTCGCCGGCTTTGATACTGGCTGGTGATCGATAATTTCAACTGAACCGGGGCTATTGTTAGCTCCTTTGACATTAAGTTGATACAACGGGGGCTCATATTGTTTGACGCTGACGTGGGTACTTATCCACATAGAGAATTCCGGAAATTCATTTCTACTGTGCATTTCGTATGAATACTGTAAATGGCGTTGACATTTTTTTCTTGCTTTAACTTAAAAATTTTACCACTCCGACAGCTGTTCCTATTTATTTATTTAACGTTAACCACTCGGAATTAGATCTTACGAAATACAACCCCGGACGATGCTTCCCAGTGGAAAATGTCTTTTGGGTTAACGCGCGAGAAACGCAAATCGAAAGCTTTTAGCATTTCAGCTGTTACGTTTCCAGTGGCAGTATCGGGCTTTACTGAGATTCTCCACTTGCAGAGAAAAACAGCAAGGCACTCGATTACGTATATGTATACCGTGGCAAAGGCAGGGCAATTGAATGTAAAAAAAAGAGAATTAAAAATATGGTACACAAGCAATACTTGGCATTCGTTTGACGTATAATTATTTTATTTTTATTTGCTTTGAATTTCGTGACACATTTTTTGTGTGTGTACGTATCTTTTTATTGAGAATCTACTAAATCTATTATATTAGCCTGTGACTTATCTGTATGCTCCTAAAGTTGGCATGGAGTTCTTTTGATGCCTGTACATGGGCGTTGGATCAAAGGAATTTCCTTCCTGAATCTGTTTCCACATGGTAGTAGAGATTCGATGGGAACTGGACGTGAAATTTTAACGATGCTCAGATCGATTTTTCAGACTAACGGCCAAAGAGATAAAGGCACTTGACTCCCGTTTTTTTGTCCTACAAGTCAAAGTACTTTATTCCCTTTGAGCGAAAGACGCGGTGCACTTGCAAAATTGTTACAGAGACTCGTAACTCGCAATTGGAATTGTAATTATCTCAAAAAGCACGGAAGGTGTTGGCGAAAGAAAAAAAGAAATACTCGAACGTGCCTAGGAGAACCGGCGGTATTTAAGAATTTTATTCTACTCAACGAGTTCGCGAGGGCGTTACTATGCAAAGTAGCTTGGTAAAATCTGCTGAGAATAAACGACGTTAAAAAGGAATAAAAAATGGCCTGTCTTTATGAAACCTCGAGGGGCACCTGGCATTTCAAGGAATCGCGCATACTCGAAGTTCACGGTATGAGAACGACCATACAAAACAGGAACGCGTAGCCTAATGTACGGTCTGTAGGCGTAAAAGTGAAAATGCGCAGTAAAGACTGCATCGCGAGAGAAAAATTGAAAAGATGCCATCCTAGTGGTGCTAGAGAAAAAAAAACTTGATCAAGATACACCTCCGTAAAGAAGTGACAGGAAGATGCCTTTTCGAGGTGGAAACTTCTCAAGTTAGCTTAGTAACGCGAAGCGGTGGCGCACTCTGTCGGATCTTGACCGAGTGAAGAAAGTAAGATAAACGACTATAAAGGAACATTGGAAAGCAGCAGCCAATTCTCTTTTTAAAGATCCCAACAGCCAATACCTAATGGTGGTAGCTATAGTCCCTCTAACCAGGATCAATGTTACGGAAGCACCGCCGTGAACCTAACGAATTGGCACAGAGGTAAGAATTAGTTCAGACCTTTCTATCGGATAGGCATTAAGTCTTATTATATATATATACATGCTAAACGCAAATATAAAAGAAACTGGACCAGGTTCTGAATCTTCATGCAGATTCAAGTAGCTAACTACTCGTTCGAGCGAATAAAACCCAACGAGATTTCGTTTCGCGAAGCATTAATAATTAACATTTATGTGCTTAGTAGGGCGTGACAGGATGCTGCGCTACGATTTCCTTAGTAGGCAGTAGCCACCACTGCTGCTGCTGCTGCTGTTACATCCGTTCCAAATTTTTGCAAGGGATGAATCTTCCCTAGTGATATGCTCACGGTCTATAGTTAATTTTACTAACAAGATCCGCAGTTCAACTTTCGCTATGAACTTTCGATAAGTTCTATAATACAGTGCTGAGGGTAGAAAAGACATATATGGTACCTCTAATTACATGTTACTTGTCCTTCAGTGATGGCTTTACCAAAAAAACGTGCATAGCAGGTTCAATTATATAATATAATGTCGCGTGGCAATCGATCAAAAATAGTTGACACTTTTCACGAACACGAGTCTATAATTTTACAGGTAAAGGTTTGCACGTGACTTGCATACCAATTTTTATTTCTCACAAAGGTGAAAATTACGAGCTCCTTTGCTCGATGCACCAAAAGGTTCGTGAACCATTTTCGTTGTATTGTTTTATTTATTTTTTTTCAATAATTTTTTTCCTCAGACAGTACGCTGGCACGCGCTTTAACGCCGTGGACGATATATAACGCGGAGTCTGTTTCAGTGCATGAGACAGCGATCCATCTTACTTTTACGAACTTCCCTTATTTTGGAGTATATTTTTTTATACGGCTCTTTGAAAAGTCCATCCGGATACCGGCTGGATTGTCTTGGTATAAATTTACGAAGATTTACGATCCTCTGGTACTCTCTTTGCGGGATGCATCTTACGTAAATTTATTTCCACGAGTTTCCATAGAAGAAGTTTTGAATTTGCACTTATATGCATCCTTAATATCATGAGACGTTATGCAGATGGTCCTTGCGATTTCCCACGCGTTCTCGCGGCAATCTGAGGATTAATTAAACAAGACTAATTGAAACTTGGACTTTAGTTCTGTACGAGGTAACACCCGTGAGCTTACCCAGTGGGAGTATTTCGCAAATTGCAGCATCCCATTACTCGCGAAACATGTTAAATTGTTATTTGTCCACCTGGATTATATTAAAAGTGTCAAAACAACAAAGGCATTAATCCCGCACAAAGTTTTCGTATTTTCCCTTGAAATTATTTTTGGCAAAAAAAAAGTATATAGAAAAAAAATACATACATTTCTTAACCCCTCGGCCTCACATTAGTTCTTTAAGAATCAGGCTGTCTCGAAAAGTTCGATTGTACGGATGAAATAATTGAAATCGCAATTGCCCTATTTCAATGATGCGTAGCCATAAGATAGAGAGAGAACTTCGAAACTATTTTCCACTTATCTTCCCTACTTCTTTCTTTCCCCACATTCTCGAGAACCACAAGCTCAGGAACTGCAGTCAGGTACCGAAGAGGTACATAACTATTTAATCAGCGGTGCAGTAGTGGCAGCTATTTCTAAACGCGAGAACGAGCATGGCACGAGGCACATATAGACAATATATTCCAATGGTATAATCGCATACAGGAACTTTCTCGCCTGCGTTATACATACGTTCCTTATAGTATATACGGATACGTTACATAGAGTCAGAGAACGACGGAGCTTAACAGGGTCAGATATATATGTATAGCTATAGGGGAAGGACGAAACGACGCCTCGATGCAAATATGTTACTGTAATTGCAATTTACATGTTTATAAACCCTCTTTGCATGTGAGACTTTTCTACGAGGCCTCGTCGAGCCTCTTTTCATTTTTTTCGACCTTTTTTTCTTCATTCTTTCTTACTTAGCATGGCCTCACGCGAGGACGCCGGGCACATTGTTCCGTGATAATTAAATCTAAAAATAGAGAAGGGCACAATAATACCTGCATAATTGCAAAGAAGACAGTCGGTGCCGTGTAACAAGCTGTGGGGGTATAAGTAACTTTACCGATCCACGTGGTAGGATGGCGTCTTGCACTTCGGGCATCCCTGTAAAGGGTCTTTGGATCGTGTCTGTCATGTGTACCGAGATTAGTAGGAAACTTCGCAACAGTGACTTAGGCGTAGTAGCGGAGCTCAGTGCGACTGGCAAGTTTCCACGGGGATGCGAATCGAAGCTGCAACTTGGTACCAAGTCGATATATCATCCACTTTGCATTAGCGGACTAAAGCTAATGCTCTAGAAAGGTCCTTGTGTAAATACGACGTAAGTGGAAAGTTATGAACGTCGAATGATTTTCGTCGTACAATGGCAAGCTTGAGACTTTTGGTAAAATAAATGAAACTTTCTTCGATAACAATTTGAAATTTCATCCACGTAATGATTTTCGTGAATAAAGCTCGTGGAACGATAACGCTTACGTATCTGGCTTGGAAGTGGCGATTAGCAATTTTTAAAAGTCTTGATACGGTTATACACGATGATAAGAGTACATAGTATATTATTTCTCAGTGAAATGTGTGTATGAAATAAAAAATTGAAGTTTCATCCAACAGAAAAGAACAGGGTGAAACGGACTTACTTTGGTGTTAATACTATATACTCTTTTTCAAGTTTTTCTGGAATCCATAATAAAGCTCAATTCCACGATTTCGTTGCAGGTGAACGATGCGGTTAATGAGTTGGAAGGAATCGACCTGACGGATCCGGATCTGCACAAGGCAGCCACCAAAATCCAAGCGAGCTTCCGGGGGCACAAGGTACGCCAGGATGTGGTGATGCCGGCGAATCCTGAGACCAAGAAGTAGAGCGGAGATGCGTGTCGGAGCTGCGAGACGTGCGATTCTCGTCCTCCTGTGCGAAAAGTAGACGAGACGGAGTTTAGAGAGGGATGCAGGATGGGCTGATTTTGGATTATCGTTTGTTTTGATGTTTGAGCCTCCTTCGGGCGACAGTAACGTGTCAGGATCAACCTACGTCATTGCTCCGATAGTCGGATCACCCGCCGCTCTGCTATTGACTACATTGGGTAGATCTCTACTCGTTATATATTTTTGTCTACTTGCAAGGAAAAAGAAAGAAAAAAAAATGTTTTTGTTAATTATTTCTTTATTGTATTTTTTATGGGGAGATTTTCTTCGTTACAACTACCGATTCGGAATGAGTTATTGTCCGAAAGAGGCTCCTTCTCTCGTTTCCCGTACGACGTGCCGCTGGAAATAACGGAGGATCGATCGGCTGTTGTATTTCCCTGGTCCTCGAGAAGGCATTTGATATCAGTAATGGACCAATTACCTTTCTAGAGGGGTGACACCAGGATCGATGAAATTACTTCAGTCTGATGAGCTTGTGTATCCACATACTTTGATTCGATTCAATACTTCATAACGCGTGATACGGTAGCTATTATTAATGAGAGCCGATTGTTAATAGTGATTGATTATATGTTAGATACACTGTAAGAAAACAACAATTAATTAATGGTACTGTGGTCACCACGAGATCAGCGGGCAGAACCGTTTAGGAGGGTAGGGAACGTGCGATAAAATTGAATTGTATCTTTCAATGAGATTAGTCGGACGTTGTTAGGGACATGAGAAAGATGTAGTAAGGGTCACTGAGATTAGGAAAGATTTTTTAAAATTTTATCAATTGGACGTACGGTTGTATTGTCTTTTTAAGGTGGGAAATTAAAATCGAAGTATTCAACTGTTTCAAAAATTATGGACAATTTATTTTGATTCTCATTGTACTACGGTTATATGATTTTATATTTTATCGCACGTTTCTCAAATGATAATTAAGACATTGCACACTGATTAATATACAGGAGGACGTGATGGGTTCTCTACAGCTGTCACGTTGTCCTTCGTGCACTACCGTGTGAACGGGGCTTAAAGTTTCTCAACTTATCTTTGCCGATCGACTAGTCTAAGGATTGCGAAGTGAATACGTTAGACAAAAACGAACCTGGCACTGGCAACACTTGATAATCATTTGAAAGTTGTAGATCTATTTAATTTTTGGAATTATCCTTGTACTCGAAGAAAGGAGGAACAAAAGAGAAAAAAAGGGAAGAGGTAGAAATTCACAATTACCGGGAGAAAAGTAAAACTTTAACTCTTCGATTTTTATTAATTACAAAAAACTAAAGTTATTCATATACTATACATTAAAGGATAAACTATTAATAACTAATCAAGAGAAACGCATGCTCTGAGACACACATTTAACCAATAGTCATACGGAAGCGTATTGCATTGATAATATATTAAGAGTTCGTTCCGCTATGTTGATAATAATTTATTTTTCAACGATATAAATAATATATATTTTTCTGCGTTAGATTCTATACTGTATTCGTATAGCTTGCGATTTCTAGACGCAATGTACACCTATTAAAGGCGCGTTTAGCGTAGAGGAATTGGCAATTGACAAAGGAATAAAATCTAGCGTTCTGATAATTTATTCTAGTCACTCTTTTTCTTTTAAGCAATTCTATCGATAAGTACGACGTTGTTTTTAGCAGGCCTAAAAACTGTATGTGACGCGTTATCACTTGTTCTATTTATTTATGTTTATGATCTTTTTGTGCAATATTATTCTACGTTCAAAGGTCGACTCGGCTGTAGTGCATTTAAAAATTGGGAATTCGCATAGGTTTGAGAAGAAGAAAAAAAAAGTGGCAAAGGAAAACATATTTTAAAATAAAAGCAAAACCGAAGCAAAAACCACAAACGAGCTAGTGGCAAAATATTCAAATATTGAATTTTTGTGGCTTTTGACAAGTTGTACACTGCAGTATATTACGCATTCACTTTATGTTAATCAAAGACTGCGTAAACGGCCCATTAAACATACATAACGTTATACACGTCCTCCTCGTTCAAAGAACGATATTCGCGGCTCTTGGAAGTACCAATGTTGGCTATGATCTACGTGCGTATAACAGCTATGAGCTGGATCGGCCATTAAAGCATTCGCCTTCCGGGGAAAAAACTATTATATTCTTATCCGAACGTCGTAACGGGCTTCTTTCAATTTGTTATCCTTTACCATCAAAATAGACCGAGCTCGACTAACCGCAAGAATCACCATCTAAATATAATATACTGTATGTACGTACACGGAAATATGTGCTCATAAATTTATACAGAGGTACCACCATCGATTATTAACATGTAATGTAAACTTAAACGTTGATGGTTAAAAAATGATGAAAAACACGTCTCGCACGTAGCCCAAATACCCAATTGGCTGTCGATGGCTTCCACGCAGGCTAAAGAATTGGAAGGATTTCACGCGAAGCAATAAGAAATCGTGAGAAAATGAGAAGAGAGCAGAAAGGGATAAAGTAAAAGGAAATACACATTAACGAAAACCCCCATTGTGCATGGGACGGACCATAAAGTTCACAGCGCTCGGTCAATTTTATTCAGGGTCGTCTCAGATATTTCGTTCGGGATGTTTTTTACGGCACACGTACGATCCTTTTACGTAAAAATAAAAAACAAAAACTGTAACTACTGCAGTTAAACTTTATATACACGTAACGTCCTTGATATCTTTGTATCCTGAAGGTCTTGATGAGAGGAGGGTGGGAGAAGGGGTACACCTTTAAAAGAATAAAAAAAAGAAAAATTTTACTGCATACTCAATGACTTTGTTGCTCATGCATAGTGAAGAGTAATATCGACTGTCTAGGTTACATACGTAGGACTTAATAACTTTACGTTTTATTTTTGTCGCAAATACTGTTTCAGCTACGTTAACGCCGTTTATTCTGCATTCCGCGTTACTTCTAGAATGTAGGATATGTGCTTGTAGGGAAACTAACGAGTTATCGTGACTAGCACAGCCGTCGTTGAAAATGTCTGTCATTAAATGGGCTCATCGAATATCGACCCTACAACGTGGAATCAAACTGTTGAGTAACGTGTAACAGTGATGGCAGTTGTATGGAAAACTTTTGGAATTGTCGATACAGTCAAATGCATTGTGACGTACTTAAAATGGTACAGGGAAAAAAATTTAAATGGATGTCGGTCCTAAAACACTGGATACCATTCTATCGTTATGCGATCGATATATTATAATAAGGCGCTCGGAGGTAGCAGTAAAAGTAGAATTGGAGCTTTGCTACTCTTTTTTTCGCGAAATGAGAAAATAGAGGAGCGTGGTAGGCGATTGAGTCTGTGTTATTGTATATTGAAGGGAATCACGAAATTGTAGCTTATTAGGGGAAGCATTCGATGGCTTATTTTTTTAATTTATTGAAAGGCACTTTTAGCGACAGGATTTTACGATTCCAAGTGTAGTATACTAAATAGTGATGCACGCGGTGCTGAGCTGAAATATTATGCTGTAAGAGTGTAACAAATAATTGTAACGTTTAAACGAGCAGTATCATGTACGTAATCTGTTTGTTTAAAATAAATACCCACTAAATGTATACCCATTTAATCATATATAACTGTAGGGCATTCGATTCATATGCTTTTATTTGTACGATTTTAATTATGCAAATCAACATGCCAAATTTCTACTATGAGTTGTCATTTATTTATTATAATATTGAAGATATAGTCGATAGTTTATTCTTGTTATTTGTTTTAGTTCTATTCTTTAGCGGCAGAGGGTGTTGGTAGTGAGAGTGGTGCTCGCTAGATGGCAGGAGTGTTTCTGGTGGAAATCGATACTGCGTTCATGATTACGTTTGTGTTTACATTTGTTTTGACGCTTAAAAAAGTGCGCTCGTTTAGTATTCTTTGAGTGACTGGTTTTTGATCAATATATTCAATGGGGAAAAGATACTACTGTGATTATTGCGATAGATCATTTAAAGATGATTCCGAGGCAAGAAAGAAACATATATCAAGTTTGCAACATGCCAAAAATCGAGCCGATCATTACAGTCTTTTTAAAGGTTAGAATTCATTTGACATATCGTATATGTAATATGTTTAGTGTGTAATTTTTGGTGTAATTTTGTATGAATCTATTTTAGCTCCAGAAACGATATTGAAAGAAGAATCTGAAAAAATACCATGTAAACGATACATGACCCATGGTGACTGTGCATTTGGAAATGGATGTAAATTCTCTCATTATACACCACCAATGATATGGGAGCTTCAACGAATTGGTAATAATTAAAGAAATTAATCATAATAGATATCCATAAGTATTTAACACTTCGTTAAGAATACCAAGCGATAAATATTCTTTCAGTTGCTCAAAAGAATCAGTCCAGATCAATGAGATCCTTGACGAACAAAGTGCCAGGTCCTGATGAAATCATAAAGGAGTTCTTCGAAAACACAGCAGATCCTGATATTGCTCAAGAGATCAATACTCCGTTATGGAGTCTTCCAATTGAGCTACAAAATTATACGAGTTTACCTCCATCCCTGTGGCCCATAACAGCTGAAAGCGTAACACATTCAGAGTTTGGAAAGTGGGGATTGTAAGATGTTCTTTAGTTGTATTAAATAAATATTTTATTTGAGTAACTTCCTGGCGATACCGTAAATAATCAAGAGATCTATCAAAGTCATTATCTGGGAAGCGTTTTAATCCTTCTAAACTCATAGCTGGCTGCCATCTAGCGGTGAATTTCAAGCGACCGTTGCAACTCACGATTCGTGTAACTTCGGTACCGGTTCGGAATCGTTCGGAAATGCCATCTGCCCCCTGTCATAGGTTCTCCTGCTCCCTCGCTTTCCGGAGCCTCGGTGGGATCCGGTGAGTACATACACAAAAGCCCACTATAGTACTATAGAACCCGTTGCCACGATAGCTTGGCCTTTCGCTGATACTTCGGCGTGCACGACGATATCATCGTGATTCGAAATAAAAAAGTTTCACCACGTTTTCTGTTAGTTGCAAGCGCGACTACGCGATTATGAGACAACGCGATTTTTTGGATTTCCTAATTTTAAGAGTGTATCGTGCCGCGATCGTCGCGAGTGTTTGAATAAAGTTCAATAGCCCAGGACGCCGGCCCGATCGTCTAATCGGATTTTTTGATCCAACGCATCAGTGAAATCATACCGGTGAGTCCAAGTTTAATAACTTTTTACATTTTTTTTTTAAATCTAAAATTACCAACCGACTACGAATTGGAGGGACAATACACTGTCTCACAGGACGTTTAACATGGTAAACAATAAACAATTTCTCTTTGTAAGCAATAATGTGCTTACCTTGGAATAAAAACACACGATGGACATCTATTTTCAAAATTTTTTAAAGTTACAAATCACTAACTTCCACGTATTCTGAGATTCCTTTATTACTGAACCGTTTTACTTCAATCTATTTTTGTATCGATAAAGACTGTTACCTTATCAAACGATATCGGTCGTATAAACGACGATTCATAGAGATTCGAAAAATGGATTCGTGTCACGTAATCGTAGAGAATGATAATATAACAAATAATGATAATCACAAAGAAAAATCACAAGCGGCACCGTCACACTCTCCCAACTCCGAAAGGAATATACACCAATTATCCAAGGCGATTCTCTTAATTTCAAGAAAAAACAGATAATTCAACAGGGCGCAGCTGTAACAGCTATCGTAAAAAAACTTGCGAACGTGTACCTATCGCTGATTGACGCACGAATCGTAACCTTATATTACCCGTAGGTCAAAAAAGCAAACCGGTCGCCTTCGTATGTTCCAAAAACAATAATCACACATGCGACATTCACGTAGCGCAAATACAATCGTATCGCGCAATTGTCACAATCTAATTGATTTCCCTTGGACAGAGGAGTAGAACAACAAAAAGCATACACTCCATTGTATAGCGCATCACAATGGAATTGTCTATTTTGGAACAGCTGCGCCTTGCGAACAATGCGGCGTGCGATGCCGAGAGCGTCCAACAATGCATGGACCCGGTACGGATGCTAGTAGACTTTTGAATGAACGATTTTGCTTTTGCTCGCCACCCGAAGGTCACTGAGAATACCTAAAGTGCTCCTTTTTTATCCAGACTACGAATCCCGTTGATTTTCACATTATTTCCTCAACCTACTTTCGCAAATGGCACAGCCGTGAATCATTGAACGGATCGCCGAAGGACAGGCAGGTAACGCTTGACTCTGGAAAAAGATACCTGAAAATTCCTAAAATTTTTAATTCATATAATCATCGCTCAAGCAATTTTCCTATATTTGTATACCATTAGGAACCTTACGATCTGGCTGCGTGATCGAATACAGTGCTTTTCTGTAGGATAATAATAAAAAGTAACGTTTATAAGTATCAGATAAAAGCATTACTACTATTTACGTACGTCTTTTGGCACATGTTACGGAATTGTTTATCATTCATCTATACAGTGGAAGTATCAAGACCCAGAGCCAAGACGTGACTTTGAATGTCGATAGAATAAACATCTTTCTCTTGAATATAGTAACTTGCGTCATCGCTTTGCATCGTTTGTTAGCATACCAAATTTTTGGTTTTACACACGTACATTAATTAAAGAATTTCCAACGATCCTCCCCGTCTTTGGACTTTACCTTTGTCTCGTTTACACAGCTAGTTGCTCTCGTAGGTAACACATACTTTCATAGCACTCTTGTTTCGTCTCTTGTCGCAAGGAGGAATTCAGGGTAGACAGTATACCATAGAGACCGGTAAAAAGAAGCGCTGACAATTTAAGATCATTTATTTTGATTGCCTTTATGCGGGCGCATTACGTCATGCGATTTCTGTACGACACGACGCACTATACCGAATATTCACTAGTCGCTTGTTGTGCTATCCGACGCAGTCGTTACTTTAATCTTGAAGATTGGCTCTCTCTCGTCATTGAGATTGATAACCCACGGGGATTAATTTTTATCTATTTTACCAGCTAAATTCCTAACGTCGTTGTCACCCCATGTACTTCTTCTTGGTCGCATTAGCTGTTCTTTCCTCCCAAGGGACTCGTTCGTAGCCTTTGGTCTGGAATATTTATTACTGCTTCCACCGTGAATCCTATACCGCACTCTCCATGTGCTCGTGATACGTATAGCTATAGCATGGGTATACCTATGCAACAAGTATTTGACTGATCGATGTTTTTTCGAATCTTGCTAATTAGACCCATAATAAAATTTCTCACTGTCAGTGCTCTTTTGCGAAAGGCAACGAATGGTTTTTCATTGACAGGTTGATTTACTAGATATTACAATTGGTCAAAGAAATATTAATAGTAGTAAATTTCGATGGGGCGATATGCATATATCGTATACACAGATAACACGTGGTCATGGAATTACTTTGTTTCCATGCGATATACATATGTAGTATTGTCGGAAAAGATATATGCTTGTCCTTACGTTAACATTTGTCCACTCGAAACCGATCTTTAATATATACAGACGAGTGTCAATAGTACCGGTCGAATTGTGTAGCAGCTGTTCTTTCGAACTGCGAAACAAGAACCCCAATGACTGTTCAATTAAAATCAATAAACGTTCCTACACTGTATGTAGCGTTCATTGTACGCACCGGCGGACTCGGTAAATCTCTATTATTTACGGACATTGGCGACGCCTAGCGTTATTTACTTTAAGAGCACATTGCGAATTCTCGATAGTCGTAAGTAAGGACGAAAATGCCGATTGCCATGTAATCAGGCTATACGTCACTTTCAATGAAAAGTCAATAGAGTTTTATCGTCTCGTCTAATCATTTAAGATCGTTTTCAATTTATGTCGACAAATGTACGTGTGTTACGCGTTGACGATTCATCAAGGCCAAATCTTGGATTTCTTTACGTTTTATATATTTTTTGTCGTTATTTTTCATGGTAACTCGTTTAAGTTCGAGACGTCTCTTATTTTTGTCCAACAATAATACTCGGTCGGTAAGGTAGAGCTGGCAAATGTGCTCCTCCATCGTTTGATGCGTTGGCGGATAATTGAATGGGAAATTTTTTGTATCGAGGAGTGCTAGGGGTAGGCGATGGAGTATTGAATGTTGTGGTTCGCTATATGGCACAAAAAATACGTAACTGCTATTACTCTAATGCAAACGGAAATTGAGTCATGGCGGGAATTTAAACTGACCGACTGACTCACGGGCCCTTTCACGATACAGGTTACTTGAAATTGTTAAAATGTAGAAAGTTCGCTCAGGGTTGCTTTGTACCTTTATAAGAAGAAATAAAGAAAAGAGGGTATTGTCTATTCCGGGACACCCTGTATATACCGGGTTACCTCCGACAAATTAGTGGCATAGCTCTTGGTCAGGTAGACGGGGGTCGGTGTAGAAGAGTAAACCTGTAAGACCTGCTGCTCATCCACCGTGGAGTCCAGGGTTCTACGCTTTGAACTCTGTGTAGTAAAATTCTCGATCTTAATATTTTCTTTATCCTTTTTTTTTCTTTAGTCTTTCTTCACTTTCCCACTAGAGGCCATAGTGTCAAAACATGTTTACAACGTATCACTGTCCGAGGAGTGATACTCATACCTACAGCAAGTAATATTTTATCAGTGATATATATATTATAATATATATATATATATATATTATAATATTATAGATTCGCGAATGGTACGACTTTGCTATTATAATGAATACACTGTATACGTTTATCGTGTATGTATTAATAGTAGGAGACAGTATTTCGCATAAACCGCCCAAGGGCAGTTCTACGTTGAAATTTATATGAAAATACCAGGTCAATTTTGCATAAGTTGCGCAGCACGTGAAATATCATAGGATTTACCTTGCTGCAGGGCGTGCTCTCTTTCAGGTGTTTCGTTAAAACGTTAAATCAGTTTCGTGCTAGTAACCGACAGTGCATTCTATGGAAACTCAGTCCCAGAGTGGACACTGACAATTTTAAGGGTTCTCTCTGTGCGGTACCTTTTAAAAGCCATGTTACTTATCTTTTCGATATGCACAAGTGGAGAAGTGCGTTGTAAACTAGTGCAGCCATACCAGCCTCTATGTGCTTGCACACTCATTGTCGGTCTACCATTGGACTTAGTATGGAGAAAACTGGGTACCGCCCGGTCGTTAGGTACCTGGATAAATTCCTTGGGGACTCTCGACGAATTCCTTTTGTCAGGCCGCGCACATACACAGAGAACCAGAAAGGCCGTAGCAAGGTCGTCGGCTCACCTCGGTGCTTCATCCTATCTCGAATTGGTTGCGTAACGCTGTGAATTAGATATTCGAATTACTGACGTACTCAAAGATATTCACAGACGTTGCTGTTGGCTAGGATTACGTCTCTAAAGATGGGTTACGGCGCATGAATAATACGAGCTTAGTCGCGAAATGCATAACAAAATATTCTGTATTATCGTGAACGGATTACTGAGATTCTTTGCCATCGATATTTTAACGTAATTTTTTATTAAATACTCTTCCTCCTCGTGTATCATGTATCGCGTGGTGTCTGTAGGGTAGGGGGGATGCTTGAAAAAAATTTCTTGTACAACTTTTTTTTTCGTATGTCTTGCATGTCGTCGCTTATTTACGTTCGCGAGTAACAGCAGCCATCTCGAGAATTTGGGAAAAATTATGGTTTTATATGTGGAAAAGAATTATTCGATCGTTCGAGAGGCGATAGTGAAAAAATATTCACCTTACGGTACCGTGGGCGAAGATTTTGCGGGAATCCTAAAAGTTTCGTTGCACGCTTCTCGCGTTTTATCGGCTACTACGGCTTCCTTTTTGCACGCATCCATCACTCTCGCCGACCGAGTAAGATCCAGTTTCGCCTTCGAGTTCCTCGACTCGAGCGCCATTTACGGAATGCCACTCCGTACCTTATGGTTACGACATCGACATTCGTTTCAGCTATTCGCATTAATGCCGGCACGCATAAACGGCGCGTTGTGTACGAATTTCATTGGAAACGTTAGAAATTTGTTTATCGATTCCCCTTGCGCGGTCGCCTTTCCTTTCTTGGTAAGGCTCTGTGCGTTGCATGTGATAAGAATAGGTTGGAATGGAAGCTGACATAACCTATATGAATTCTATTCTCGTTTGAATTACGCGGCTTTTTTTTTTTTTTGACGCTCACAGATTATTT